TTAGTATGAGTATCTATATAAGTATCAGTATAAGTGAGTATCAGAATTGATAATAGTATCGGTAGTAGTATCAGTTTTGGTATCAAGGTTGATATCAGTATTGGTAGTGAAGTATGCATTTCATTTCTTTTGCAATATTTATAAGTTGTATTGTTGATAGAGTTGTATTGTTGTTTGAGTAATGTACTTCACTAATTGAACGTCGTTAGTGATAAATTTGTAGATTATTTGAATATCTATTGTGTTACTTCCATGCTACCGTGTTTGTTGTTAAGTTAGTTATTTTGCAGAAGATTCATATAGTGTAGTAGATTTTATTTTGTGAAAGAGACTTATACCATATGTTTTAAATAATTTTACTTAATTTTCATATCGTGTTTTGGGGGCTTCGCGTATTCTTTTTTCTAATATTTAATTGAGTTTCTTATAAAATAACTCTGAATTAGGAGATGAAGTTTATGTTTTTTTAATTCCTTATGCTTTGTTTTACTTGAACTGGTGTTATTATAAAGAAATAGTCATTTACATATTATTATTTTTCTCATTTTGAAACCGAGATCCGTGCAACGCACGGGTGAAGTACTAGTTTAATTAATTCTTAAATCTATTGAACTATTAAACTTACATAGTTGTAAATTTAGGTTCAAGGTTATTGATAAACTAACGACAAAAGGAAATGAATTATTGATACACATGTTTTGTTACTTTTTTTTTTCTTTTTAAGAAAAAAAAAACTAAGAAAAAGGGCTGATAGAAAAAAAGAAGAAGAAAAAAAGTAATAAATAAAAAGTTTATTCGAGAACTAAATAATAAAGGAAAAAAGAAAAATAAAAAGTAAAAGTAAGGGGAGAGTGAAAAACTAATAACAATTTTCGTTCCGAAAATTGGATATCAAGATTCTAAAATTGTAATAAAAAGAATTGTTCCAGTATCGAAAAGTTTACCGATTGAAATTGGCAGATTTTGAATAATTATAATTTTACTATCACCTAAAATATATAAAACATAATAATACTGGTTTATTAATTAGTGTAATTTTTTAAAACGAAAATCAAAGCCATAATTTTCAAACTGGTATATAAATCAAAGCCACAATTTTTTCATCGTGCCATAGTCCTTCGATGGTTTCAAATCTAGATTGAAGAATGCCTAAGTTCTTTCGATATCCGTCTAATATGCCTCTTGCATCCTTGTACACAATTATAATCACGTCCTTGTAAAACAGGAATTGCTTGAACAATAGTAAACCAATGTGGATATATACCATATACTAGATAATATCCTTTTTTTGTATTATATTATCTACCCTTGAGAGGAAATCGAATATATGTGGCTAGACCTTCAATGTCGACTGAAGGAATTAAAAATGTGGAAACGTTGCAAAAGCAGCACGAACAACCTGGACTTGTTCCTACACCAGCGGTCCACGCTACGACAATCTATAAAACTTGATCAATGTCGGTGGTCGCCATCCCGTCCGCGCCAGTTATTCAAGCCTATCATTTCTCAGTATGCAATCTCAACTGCACATTCTCCTTCTCTCCCGTTACTACCAACATCGGCCAGTCTCTTCAGATAATTGTTCAAAAAATGAGGTGTCGCAACCTCTCAGCTTTGGTCGGGGCGGTCTTCCAAGTCCTGGCTGTCTTTTAGCTTACCGCCGTCAAAAAATGAATGACGTTTTAATTTGATTTCCATTACCCTTATTTTCATGATTTTGAGCTGAATTTACCGCAATCAATATGTGATTTTACCAAGTTATTTCATAATTTCTTGTATTGTTTAGGGATTATATATACATAC